ATACAAATTGTGTGATGAATAATATTTAATTTTGTATATTAATTATTGGATATATATGTACCTAAAATAAGAAAATGCCAGAAAAATTGAATTTGCTTATTTATTTAAAGATGCTTATCATATACAAAATGAATGATATAATCTCTAAAAACTCACCTTTAAAAAAAGGTAAAAAAAGGCGACCAGTTGTAACGGTTCACCTTCCCGACGCCGCGGATCGGCTCGCCGGTTCCAGGATTCGGGAGGAAGGGGGAGATTCAGACTCGCTTATTCCTTATTAACAATACTTTGGTTTATTCAAAAAGAAACAAGTAAACAAAATGATTGTTGGCATAAAGCCTAAATAGAGAAACTTATTGACTACTCGGTATAAACGAAATGTTTGTTGGCATAAAGCCCTAAATAGAGAAACTTATTGACTACTCGGTATAAACGAAATGTTTGTTGGCATAAAGCCCTAAGTAGAGAAACTTATTGACTACTCGGTATAAACAAAATAGGAGGCGTATAGCCTGTAGCGGTGTCCGGAAAAGATTTACAAATTACCCGGTATAATAGAGATACGGTGTACGGAGGCGTATAGCCTATAGCAGAAAGAAACCGGAAACCGGGAAACCCGGCGTAATGACGAGAAACCCGTCACCCGGTGTATAGCAGGAAGAGACCGGACCCGGGAAACCCGGCGTACAACGAGAAACCGTTGCCCGGCGTGTAGCAAAGAGACCGGAAACCGGGAAACCCGCGTAACAACGAGAAACCCGTTGCCCGGCGTGTAGCAGGAAGAACCGACCGGAAACCGTAAACCCGAACCCGTAACAACGAGAAACCCGTTGCCCGGCGTGTAGCAGGAAGACCGACCGGGAAACCGGGAACCCCCGTAGCAGGAAGAGAGGAAACCCGGGTGACCCCGGCGTATAGCAGGAAGAGACCGGAAACCGGAAACCCGCGTAACAACGGAAACCCGTTGCTGTAGCAGGAAGAACCGAAACCGGGAAACCCGGCGTAATGACGAGAAACCCGTCACCCGGCGTGTAGCAGGAAGAGACCGGAAACCGGGAAACCCGGCGTAACAACGAGAAACCCGTTGCCCGATACTAAAGGTAGGAGGCCAGAAACCGAGAAACCCGGCGTAACAACGAGAAGCCCGTTGCCTGGCTAGGAGGTCCGGACAGGACTGGTGCCGGCTCATCCGTCGAGCCGGCTTATATACCCTGCCGGCGGTTCCCCCACTCTTCCTCGAGGCTGTGGTGGGGGTAACGCCGGCGTCGTAGTGGGGCGCCTCTGGGGGTTGTAGTGGGGCGCCCCTGGGGTAGGGTGACCCGTGTATCAGTTATGATTTTGTGCTTAGGGGCGCCTTAGGCGCCATAGCCTCAAGTGGCGGGCGGGTGATCGGCCCGCGAGGCGTTAGTAACGGCTACGCCGTTACACAGTTAGGGCACGCCATTAACAAAAATTATCCATTGCAAACCCATGTACAATAGAATTGTATGAAAAATTATCGATTATAAACCCATGTACAATCGTAACAAAAGTAATGAAATAAAAAAAAATTGCGCCAAGTGAAAGTAGAAACTTGTACCAGTGGAAAATTAAAGTTGCAGACATATATAGAGTCGTATAATGAATCAATAAAAATTTAAATTTGCAAATGTAGAATTGTACCATAAAAAAACTTATCTTATAAAAAAAAAGATAAACAAGATGCCAAGTCCATGCGCCATGTGAAAAAGTGTTAAACAAAAAAGTATTTTTAAGTAAAAAAATCTATCAATTGACAAAAATTTATGTTCTAAAATTAATATCTCTACAAAAGTAATGTCCAATTATTGCGCGAATAAATAAACATTTTTATAAAAAATTAAAATTTAAAAACTTATGCAAATTTAAAATTAATATAAAATAAAAAGAAATAAAAAATTTTAGTTAAAAAAACTGGGCGCGCTGCAATGAGTTTAAAAGTAACAATTTAATTTTAATATCATTAGAATATTATTTAGCAGCGCGCCCAGTTTTTTAACTAAAATTTTTTATTTCTTTTTATTTTATATTAATTTTAAATTTGCATAAGTTTTTAAATTTTAATTTTTTATAAAAATGTTTATTTATTCGCGCAATAATTGGACATTACTTTTTGTAGAGATATTAATTTTAGAACATAAATTTTTGTCAATTGATAGATTTTTTTACTTAAAAATACTTTTTTGTTTAACACTTTTTCACATGGCGCATGGACTTGGCATCTTGTTTATCTTTTTTTATAAGATAAGTTTTTTTATGGTACAATTCTACATTTGCAAATTTAAATTTTTATTGATTCATTATACGACTCTATATATGTCTGCAACTTTAATTTTCCACTGGTACAAGTTTCTACTTTCACTTGGCGCAATTTTTTTTTATTTCATTACTTTTGTTACGATTGTACATGGGTTTATAATCGATAATTTTTCATACAATTCTATTGTACATGGGTTTGCAATGGATAATTTTTGTTAATGGCGTGCCCTTAACTGGTCGCCTTTTTTACCTTTTTTTAAAGGTATATATTACATCAACTTTCATCTGCGTATATAGAAGATTCTATATACGCAGAAAAAATAAAATAGAAAATAAAAATAAAAATAGAAATAAATTAAAAATAAAAATAAAAATAAAATAGAAATCTATATTAAATAGATTTCTCGCGCATTATTTGTACTATTTATATAGCTGATATCGGTCTATTATAAAGTGTAATATATGTCTCGGTAAATGCACTTAAAAATGCACAGGCGGAAAAATTTTTAACGACAGATTTCTCGTATCATTTGGAGACGACTTTTCTTCAGGAAAAATATCTAGGCACCAATAATTTTCAAGTTATAATTAAAGTAAAAGATTTTTTGCTAAGTCTTGTGAAAATAAAATCACATTCTTCAATTAATTTCAAGTAAAATTTATCTTAATAGAATTTTCATTTACGATTTAATTACAAAGATACATAATGACAAAAATTGGGAATGCGAAAAGAGATGACCTCCCTCTTAACATTTTCGCTGAGGAAAAATCATCTCCAAATTATACCAGGAATCTGCCATTGAAAACTTTTTCCGCTAATTCTGAAACACCCTGTGTGTATGTGCATATACATATTCACATACATATACATATTCATATACATATACATATATTTATCTCGCAACAACAAACCATTAAAGTCCTTATGCACGCATGTTTGTTTTCGCATGACACGTGTTTTCCGGCCCCTGCGTAAGTTAATATAGGGCAGTAGGACCTAAACCCCATGATTAATCCTGCGATAAGTTTTATTTATGTTAATCCCTCGCCTGTAATTGCGATGGAGTTTCTGCAGACGCTTACGAGAAACCGGACTGCGCGCAAACTTGCTGCGACCGCGGGTGCACGACATTTCGAACCTGACACGAGAAGACTTGTCCTACTTATTGAGATCACGCGGGTCTCCTATACATATGTACATATGTGCGTACCTCGGTATAAACGTCGAACAGTTAACAGGCCATTTAATGCACCTGTTGTTAAAACTTGCAGGTATCGCGATCGTTGTCGATATCTCTCCTATCCGAGAATCTCAATATGCATATTAAAAAAGAAAAGTTTTCAAGAGTGATTAATTAAATTGAATACCTTGTATACGTGCGCGCAAGTATATTTAAGTATTTATTTTTATATTTCATATTTAAAGTGTTTATTTATATTTAATATTAATTATTTATATATTAAATATATAATATATTAAATATAATATATTAAATATATATATAATAAATATATATAATAAATATAGCATATTAAATATTAATTTTAATATTTAAAGATATGACGCGATTATGAAAATTTCAAGCTTCTCTAATCTTCAATTATTAAAGCGATAAGTTCACCTTGAGTTAATGAAAAGTAGAAAATTAAGCAATTAAGAGGAAGCATGTATATACAGGAAGCATCGCGACATTCCATTATAAGTATTTCAATTTTTTTTTCGCAGGAAACACACGCCTATATTTGAGCGAATAAAATGCATGGCTCGTTAGTCAACCTATTATCCGAAGAATATCGGTCTCGCTATCTTGCGCATTATCCGATAGAAACGTCCATTAGAATAATATGACGTGACAAACATAATAAAATATGTGCGCGATTGAAAGACATGCTACATCGAAATTTATCATGCCATTTTTTATACAAGATGTCCATCCTTCCTTCTTTAGTTTTTAATTTTTAATTCCCTTTTTATAATTGTGCAGATTTTTCCAAAAAACCATCAATTGCAAAAAAAGAGAGCTCAACAATATCCTTTATCTTCCTTCCATTATTCGTTCTCTCGAATTGCATATTAGATTTCGGAAAGAGAAGCGCAAAGAATTTTATAATTATCGAGTTCGTCAAATTCTCTCTGATGAATGCGAATTAAACGGAGTGTGCACTGAAAAAAATTTGTCAACTTGACTAAACCTTTCAACTAAATATTATTTTGTCAATTGAACATAAAAATATTTTAATGAAATATAATATATTAAATCTAACACACAAAACGAATATTTGACTTAAGTACTAATATATATTCAATTATATAAAAAAATAGTATATATATTAAATATATATAATAAATATATATAATAAATATAACATATTCAATATTAATTTTAATATTTAAAGATATAACGCGATTATGAAAATTTCTCTAATCTCCAATTATTAAAGCGATAAGTTCATTTTGAATTAATGAAAAGTCGAAAATTAAGCAATTAAGAGGAAGCATGTATATATATATATTTAATATTAAGTTGAAAGATTAATCAAATTAACAAATCTATTTTTTTCATTGTGCATCTGTCTGAGTCTGCCGTGTAATTCTCAAAGAAATACAAGCGAGTCACATTCTGACGCGACGACGACAGAAATTCTAATGGGACATTCGAGCCCCTAAGATACAGAGAGACTCGCGTTTCTCGTATACATCCTTCGCATTCCTGGATACTCACATACGGCGGCGTACAGTAGATCGCCTGGCACCACATCGGCTCGGAATGATAACATACGCAGAGACTGCAGACCGCAGGTCCTGGCACGTAGAGGAGGCCGTGTCTGACAGTGCCGCCCTGAAAATCCGTGCAGTTCTCTTCCAGAGCATCTGAAACAATTTACCACATTGCTGATCGAAATTGGCGGCGATGTAACCTGGTTTCCATTGTCATATATATACACACACAAAGTATATATATACAATCTCGATTTAAAGGTCTAGAGGATTCCATTAATTCGGAATCAATGTTTACATTATTGGTAATCTTCACATTCTAGAAAGTAGAATTATATAAATGTATTTATAGAAAATATTTATGATTTAATTATAATGTATTATTAGCTTATACCACATTTTATTTAAAAAACCGATAAAAAAGAAAAAATTATTAAATATTTAAACGATATCTTCAGATCTTTTTCTAAATATTATTTCTAAGTTTATCTATTATATTATATATTAAATTCATAATTCTGGGATACTAAGAACCGACGCAGAATAAAATGTGCCAAATAAACATTTCCTAAGGTGAGCTTTCCAAATTTTATTTTTAATGTTTCGGTCCCAGGAATTGGACCATACTCAATAACATAACGCAGATACAGTAACGATTTTTTGTCAAGATTGAGTCAGACGATTATTTTGTCAAAATTGAGTTGCCCAGAATTATTTATGAATTTAATATTTATTGAGAACCTTACACTAAGTATTATTTAATCTATTATATTAATTCTTAATTAATAATTCAAAATTAATAATAATTCTAAATAACAACTCTAAATAATAATTCTATTCATAGAAAAAGCAAATTTATAAAACAATATTAAAAGATTTTACTCAAATTACATAATTGAGAAGCTAATTACGATTAAGATAAAAAATTTAATTAATATATAATTAATTATTAATATTTAACCAAAAAACTGAAATATTAATATACATATATAAAAACTCAAGAACTCAAACATATAGAGACCATCATTCGAATATTTCATATTTTATTATTTCTTTTCTATCATTTTTTCTTAATAAAATTGTGATATAAGCTATATGTATTATAATATAAATTATGAATTATTTTATAGGACTTTCAAAGACATAAATGTAGGAATTAATTAAACAATATGACTTTTTTTCTCAAAATCTCGAGATATTTAAATTTCGTGATAATCACATAAATTTGATTTAATTTCTCGGCGCCTTACTTGTTCTCGGTAGGAATAATAAGGTGGACAAGTAGAAGGTCACGTGAGCGTCTTGACGGAGGATATCTTCATGATCCGCGGGATGGTTACTTGAGGAAAGTGGGACGTGCACGTATCAATAGGTGCTGGTCTCTCAGAATGATCATCGGAGAACGCCCGGTTATTGCAGCAACCTCCGCTCCGACAACACTGACAGCGCTGGCAGAACATGTTGCCTGCGCGATAGAAATCAGAATATATACATACATACATTTGTTATCATATTGGACTAATCTTGCAAGCGTGGGTTTTACTTTAATGGATCCTAATCGCGCGATAATTGTCGTCTTCTTCGGCCTTAAAGGCCGATTACGACGAATTCTCGACCACACGCCATGTTGCCGCGAAATTGAGAGTTTTGCTAGGAATGACTCGTCATCGCCGAAGATTGCGCAGCTTATAAACAGTACAATCTTTATTTCTCAAGAAAATAATACATCTTTAGCCGCAGTGTTGTGTTTCGAGAATTAGCTAGATGTGATGAGATGAAAACATAAATTATTTCTATCTATATTAAAATCATCTTCATCTTACAATTAATAACATCCCAGAGCACATTCAAGAAGAATTCATTTGTACGTCACCAATTTTGAATCCCTTTTCAAATACATATAGAACTCATTTTAAAAAATGAATTCTATATATATTTGAAAAAGACTCAAAATTGGTGACATACAAATGAATTTTTTTTGAATTCGCTGTGCTATCTGGGATGATTTAATATAGAAAATAATTTAATATAGAACATATTTTATATAGATAGAAATAGATAAGAGATAACATAGATAAAAGATAACTTCCACATAACATTAGTTTTAAGATCACTTATGTATAATGAATACAAGTTATAAAACATATATAAATTATAAAAGGAATATCAAAATATTTCATTTTATTATTTGTATCGCTTGATTGTACTGCTTAAATTTTATTACTTAAATATTTTTTTAATATGACTCTAAACTAAATTATCTGAACATTATTCTAGATAATTAATAAAGATAACACTTTTTCACCCAAGATACAGATAATACATTTCTTATTATCTATATAAAGATGATGCCAAATTTCTCTAGATGATCATCTATATAATGTTTTTAGATAACAGTAAACACACCGTTTTTAATTAATATATTTTTTATAAATTGTATAAATACTATTCAATGTCGATGTATTATTTCCCTAAATTCGGTAAGTGTATACAAAATAAAAATCCAAATTATACGTAGGATTAAAATATTAATATAATAATATTGAGCGTGACATTAAACTAATTGAAGAATATCAAATGTTTGCTAACTTAATTTTTTAATGTTTAATGACAGATAAATTCTTGTATTCTTAATTACAAATATTCATATCAATATCATTGTTTTATTAAAAATAGTCTCTTTTATTAAATTTATATATTCCCATTTTAAATAATAAATTTATATTTATATCTCTTTTATTACCTTTGATTAAAATATCTTTTTTTACTAATTTTACATAAATCAATAAAATCTGCATTTGTCCGACCGCAATCAAATATAATATGAAAAAGCTAGCAAATATTGCACTTGCAAATTGATGAAGCGGAATGCATATCATATATTGTGACGATAACTAACAGATCCCGCAAATTCGATAGGGAATTCTAATTTTAATGAATCTTGTTCAAGAGGAACTTTCAATAAATGAATTTCAAACTTTTCAATTGTTTTCAGCAGTTAAATCCATACTAATACGCGTGTGTGTGCGCGTGCAAAGTTTTATTAAAATCATAATTTCCAAGATTAGTGTTCCAGGATTTCTTCCTAAGTTCTGCATTCAACTTCTTGTTGACAGACTTTTTGGCACTCTTGGAAGCTCAAATTGAATCCAAGAGTTTGCGGTTCTGATACAACATGATCTGTTTATCAAGTTTGTATATGTGTATGTATTACATGTATTATGTACGGGATGTATAAACATTGTAAACAACACACCACTTCGTTCATTGTGTGTTGAAATAGAGTCTAAGGCTAAATACATATTGGATCGATTTAGGAAAATATTTTCCTTTCTTTCAAGAATGTCATATTATGACCCTTACATTAGCTTTAGTTTTATACACACATGTATATATTGTAAAAAGTTGGCATTTCAATGTGTCGTTAAACAAAACTTTGCCTTACAAGATCTTGTATCGTCAAATTGATTATTTCAATCTTAATTATTATATCAATCTTTGCAAAATTCTTCTAACAAGAAACTTAAAAGTCTGAAATCTGCAAAATTTGTCTAGAGAGGAGTTTTCTTCCTGAGAAAAATAACTAGTTATTCGAAGATAGATAAGATAATAAAGATGATGGAAGATGATCGAACGTTTACCGATGCATTTGTTTTATTAAAATCTTGCTTTTACACGCGATAGAATTTATTTTGGAATTCTTTCTTGAAGAAAAAAAGAAGAAAATTTTAGCCAATCCAATAACTTTGACCCTCTTGTTTTTCGATGCTGCAGATGTTGCACCAAAAAATGTATTTATCTATTCCATATATATTTATAGTGAATGACGAAATCTTATTCTAC